CCCCGCCCCGCGCGGCCCCCGCACCGTGATGTTGCAGTGGATAGTGAGCGGCGGCGGCGGCTGCGGGCTGGAGCCCGGCGGCGGCGGCAGGAGCACAAACTGGCAGTGGAGCTCGTCCAGCTTCCAGGAGACGATGCGGAAGCGCTCGTGGTCCTTGTCGAAGATCGACTCGAGGAACTTCAGCTCGGCCTTGAGCCCTGACACCGACATCCTGGCCTCATCTCCGGGCCCGGGCCTGTGCTGCCACCGCCTCCCTCCGACTCAGCCGGCCCGACCCTGGCCCCGGCCGCGCCTGCGGGACGGAAGATGGCGGGGCCGGGGCAGCCCCAGCCGGCGGGGCACGGCGGAGCTCCCTTTGTACCGGCCTCCTGTACCCGCTCGCTCGCTTAAAAGGGCAACAGCACAGCCCGCTCCCCTTCCCTTCCTCCCTGGCGGGCCGGGCCAGCCGCGCCAACCGCCCCGCCCTCGCCCTGCCCTCCTTCCGATAGCCCGGCCCCGCGCCTGGGACACGCGCACCGGGGCCGGCCCGAGCCCCGCTCCTCCCCCGGGGCCACCGCCCGCCCCCGCCGGGTGACCCGCGGCACCTGCAGGGGCTGCCCGCTCGCCCCAGCCCTGCCCGGACACTGCGTCCCGCGGCCCGGCTCGCAGCCCTCCGGTCCCCGCTGCCTAACCGCAGCAACCGCTCACCCGTGCTGCGCCTCCTCTCCCACCTCCCAGCCCTGCGGAACGGTACGTGGTATTGCTTCCTCACCGCACTTCTGTTTTGCTGAGAAAGCCTGCAGCTTTGAGTTTGCACCTGTCATCCCAGATTCCTATCAGTCCTTCAGTACTCCTCGGGGGTCAGTCGACTTAAGCCAGGAATTCCTGTCCAGACATTTCTGGCGGATCCATACACATAAAATCTGGTGTCAGTCACTGCAAGCTGGAAATCAGCAATACAGAGGCCAAGAAAAATTCTTACTACTCTATTTAAGCTCCCCTATAATTGTTTTATATAAGATTTATCCCCAGAAAAAACATCACGATGCATGAAAGCATTGCTAGTGAAGTGAATACTCCCTGCATTCAGAAATCAAGCGGTGCTGCCCCTTCCTGACCCTGGAAATCCCATCTCTGCACCTTTATTTATCCCTTCCCATCTTGGTTTTGCATATAGAGAGTTGTCAGTTCCTTGGGAACATGGAGTGGCTCTCACATGACATGAAGTGTGATACAAGCAATGTTGTTGCACCATATCCTTCATGTTTCCCAAGCAGCTATTAAGTAATGCAGTACACACATAAACCTGGAACAGGGAATTGCCTTTTTTTAAAATTGATACTTTATATAAATCTTTAATTCCAGACAAACTGGCAGTACTTCACAAACCACAAGCTGAATCTTGTCAAGTGGTGAGAACTCTAATCTTGATCCAGAAAAACAGTTAGCACATGCCCAACTCCAAGCATATGGAAGTCATATTGATTTGTGGGCTTGAAATTCCTATCCTTCCAGCAAAGAGAACTGCTTTGCTACAAAAGGACTCAGGAAGGATTGACACTGGTTAAGTACTTTGAATGAAAGGTACCAGAAAGTCCACAGAATTTTTTCAGGCTGTCACTTGAAAGACTCTGATTATACAGTGTGTGCAACTCAGCTCTCCTAGACAGGCTGAACTATTGCTTAGACTGTACAGCCTGCAAAGTGAAGCCAAGGTGGATATATAACTTGTATGTCAATACACCAACAGGCAGAGCAAACAACTCTGAGAGATAAGGGATTTAAGGGAAAACTAGCTGTAAATAAGCAGCAGAAAATTACTTCACTTATTAGAAAAGGAGGACTTGGAAGTCCCTATGGGAACCCCAGAAACAAAACCAAACCAAGCAGGCTTTATCAGACATTGCACAGTGTGATGCATGAAACGGCAGAAGAATGAATTTGGTGACTCAATTTCCCTCGTATGACAGGATTTTGGCCTGGAACACTGCACTGCAACAGTTAGGTCAGCAGGCTTAGCAAGTTCAAACTGCACCTTCTGTCATACCTTACCAGGGCTGCCTCTATCACTACTTCCGCTCTTCCATCCTCCTTGTCTTCTCATCTACCTTCCCCCTCCTCTGCCTCTCCACTGACTGTGACACCACGCTTTTTTTGGCAGCTGCACAGCTGAGATGAGTGGATGTGCTGGCTGGGAGGATCCCTTGCCTGCAATACCTGGTGGAAGGTATGGCAATCTCTCTCAGACACCCATTAATCCAAATGCCACACTGTCTCCTGAGCACCTGGCCAGCCAAACAAATTGTTTAATTGTCCAAATGTGCTCTTCAAACCTGATCTAGAACTTTCCCCAGCTCCTTCAGTCTGCCTTCTTGTTGCAGACTTCAAGAAGTAACATGCAGCTGCACAGCCACCACTCCTCTGAATTCTCCTGCCCTTCTCAGTATTTAGCAGGCATTGTGCAAGCTGTGAATTCGTTTCTGTGATAAGACCTTGAGAACACATTGGGCCTGTCTACCTTTCTGGAATTGAGGCTGCTTCAAAGGTGTAAAGAGCTGTTTGACATGTCTGACTCATTCCTGTTTCTTTCTTCAGGACTTGCCATGGGACATTGCCATGAATCTCATGTTGGTCATAAGATGATTCAGGAAAGCTCAGAGTTTCCCAAAGACCAAAATGATTGTACACAGGGCAGGACCTGACATCTCGGGCTAATGAAGGTAATGAATCTGGGTACAGCCCCTCAAGAGCACTCTATCAGATTCCAGTAGCTACAATTGCTGTTAAGTTCCTTGATCCACGTTGCCTGTAAGCACCACTTTCTTCTAACTTGCATGCACATCTCCAATATCATGATTACCTCTATCATACAGCTAGATTACCTCTCCCAAGGGCTGAACTTTGGCCAAATCCCTGTTTTGAAGATAACATACCTTCATAAACTTGTTTCTTTTTCCTCCTTCTTATTTAAATATAGGAAATTTTGTAAGAGTCTTAAACTGAAACTCTCAAAAAAAACCTGGCAGATTCCACACTGCATTCTTGGGTAGAACAAGGAGACAAACAGTTTAGACCGAAGTTGTCTTTCCCCTTAGCATTTATGGCCAGCCCTGCTTCCAACAGATCAGATAGGCGTGTCTCTGGGAAGACAGAAGGCCAGCAACAAAGGGCAAAAGGAACTGAAGGAAAGATAAGTTCAGGATGAGCCATTAAGAAGGAAATGAAGTAAAATATAGGATGAATGGGCTTTGATGAAAGCAAGAGTTGTCTGGGGCTTAAAGAAAGGGTATTCCAGAGCACAGATGAATTTCAGTTTGTATTAGTCCTTTTCTTTCTCTGAATGCCTTTTCTAGGTCTGATGTATTTCCAACTTTACCCCTGAATGAAGCTCCTGTACACTCAGTTGAGTGTGCCTAGCAGAGGATTGATTTGTTTCTCTGAGACTAGTTTATAGTTTTGGTTTTTGACCTCACTTCTCTCATTTACAGCCTAGCACTTAGAAAGGGTCTTTCTGTTTAATTCTGATTTCACTTTCCCAAAAGAAATGTCAGGCACCAAAAAGGAGCTGCCATTTCAGAAATAAGGAAGGCCCAGATTTTTGTAACCCTGAACCTCAGCAGACAGAGAAGGTAAAGGATAAAGTTAATGAGATGGGAAGAAGTGTAAATTGATTTTACTGATGGATGATGCAGCTTAATAATAGCTGATGCCCAGGTAGACTCTTGAACTTTTTCAGAGATAGAAGCAGAACCTGAGACTAGAAAAGACAAATAATACCTGACACCCATAAGTAGAAGGACAAGAGAGGGATCCTACCTGGATCCTTGGACAAAGGCAGAAAGAGTCAAGAGGATCCTGCTTTGCCAAGATACAAGTCAAGCTGTCCTGCTTGCCAAAGCCAGGCTTTCACATAATTCTGAGCTCACAGCACCAGGGTCATTGCTTCAATAATGAAATCACCTTCAAAGCATTGAGAAGAAAACATACATCAGTGCAGGAAAGCTGATTAAATGGCTGGTTTCAAGAAGCATCGTGTGCAGTGGGTGAGGGATTGATTAGTCCCTCAGACACCAATTTCACTTTTAAAGGCTTTAACAGTTAAGGAATGGCATTACAAAACCAATTTATCCTAGAGCAGCTTGGGATGGGGAGGGATACTGTTGCCCAGGTATTCAGTAATAGGTGTCAAGGAGATGTCTGCAGGCATTCAAATACCATGACCATGAATTTAACATAAAAAAAACCCAAGTTGCATGATTTTACCCAGGATGGACAGAGTAGTTTTCAACTCCAGTTCTTCTAAGTCCACCCCTGTGGACTGTAAGTTAATTAGGTCCCTTCTTTGGAGTGCTTTGACTCATTCACTGAGGAGTGTTTGTAATCCTGTACAGGAAACAGCAATAACCTGTTGGTGGAGATTGCATTACTGTTTGTGGATTTGTAGTTCTGCCTGTACTTACATCTTTGGCTAAACAGTGAATATTTCTGAACTTTCAAAAGCTAGGTGGTGTCTGCAAAGCAAGGTCAATGATACGTTTTTGTTCTATATGAAAGTTGTGGGAGTTCATTTATTAGAAGAAAGGTGTCCCAGGAAAGCCAAGCCATACTAATCAGTCTTGCAGTGCCACAGATGGGGATTAAAATCCACTATACAAACACATCAGAAACCAAACTCCTTGTGCATACAGTGAGGGAACACATCTAGTTCTCTCCTTAATGGCTTGCACAGCTTCCTGAAAACAAATAAAAAACACATCTCTAAAAGCAATAAGGAACCATGCAGCCATATCTGAATCATTCCATTTGATAAATGAACAAACTAGAGAAAAAAGGAAAATGTAATATCATTTTTCCAAACGCAGGTGAGTGAAGGAAGAGGTAGTTGCACACAACTGTTCAGAGTAGAGCAACACACCTTCCCTGGACTCCCTAGGACTTGCACCCTTTCCTTGGGATCCACAAGCTCATAAGCCTTACAGGCCTCAGTAAGCTTATCTTGCCATCACAGACACTTAACAGGGGTGTTCCAGAGCAGAGGTCAGATGCCAGGCTCAGTCTTGCTAAATACGTTATTGTTTGGAGTGGGGAGCAGGGGAATGGGCAGACCCCCAGCTCAAGTGCTCCCAGGGCTGAGATGCAATCATAGCCACAGCTGAATACTCAGCCCTTCCATCCCCCTTTTGATTTCTTATATTTATAGGAACTGCAATAGTTAACTTTGTCTATATTTTAAAATATCAGCATAAGGCACCTGAGTTGGCAGACACTGAGGTGAGCTGGGCGGGTCAGAGTTATTGTTTCAGATTCTTCAACCACATCACTTAGCATGGAAAAGACAGATCAAATACATCTCAGGAACCCTACCTACTTTCATCTCTTTTTGTAGGTAAGTTTAGATTTTGGGGAACAGAGTGGTGCCTGGGACAATACTGTCCGTATTCAAACCCTCCACAGACTCAAGTGCTGCATGAACACTGACTTTACTGGTGTCCCACCAAACCAGGTCCAGGATGCAGCCTCATTTGATATGTAGGGAAGGTGAGACTGGGGAGCTAAACCAGTGGTTTTCAATCATTTGCTGACTTGGTGTCTCGGTTTGAAAGACAGTGTTTGCTAAGGAAGGCAGGAGCCTCCCTTGAAATGGAAAATATAAACCTTCTCCCTCTGAATTATTATAATTTTGAAATTAAGGGGCTCTCAGGCAAATATATGAGAATAGGAATAACAGTTCTTTACCAGGAAAGTTAAAATAAAAATGCAGTAGTACAAAGAAAATGCTGACAGAGCCAGAATACAAGCTGACACCCTGTTGGTCAGGGTGTTGGTAGCAGTCGATTAAATGGTGGCTGCAGTCCTCCTGGAGTGACAGATGTGGTTCTGCTGAAGCAGTGACCCTGTAGAAGGGTGTAGTTTTCCTCTGAAGGCCCAGTGGTGGTGTAGATGGAACCTGTCTTCCTCTGGGAATCCAGTGGAGAAAGGCTAATTGTGGTGTTCTAAATTTCAGATGATATCCAGGTAGGAATGCTTGGCTCCTCCCCCCTGGATGGAGCATCTCACAATGGGATGATGCAGTGAGACTCAAAGGCCCATTAACAGAACATATCTCCCTGAATTTATGAGGGATGGGTCATGGAGGAGATAAAGAACACTGCCCTTCCTGGTTTTATTGCATAGTAATAAAATACATACTTCTGGTTACATCTTGCATTGCACCCTAAGACATTTGGAAATCACAAGTGTCCACAGGCCACAAGTCAAGATCGCCAACCCCAGTACGAGATTTTTTACATAATCTACATCTGCTAAATTTTAAATATCAAATGCACAAAATTGCGTTTGGTAGATAGAATACTGTAAAAAAACACTGTAAAAAAAAAAAAAAAAAGTAGTGAAGTACATCTGGAAAACTAACCCACATACCTTTATTGATGAAAGAAGAATGGAAAATATAAGATTTTTTTTCCATTATAAAGCTGACTTGAAGTCATCTTTCCTCACAGTGACTGAGAATAAGTCACAGAAAACAGCAATCTCAGAATCAAATGGGAGACCAAACCTCAGAAAAAGAATGATCATAGCAATTACTTTCTGTAAATATGACTATTTTCCTGCTAGAAACAAATTCTAAGCACAAAAAGCTGCTGAAATAGATGAAGGATAACAGACTGCTCTGTTATCCTTCATGTTATATGTGCCCTGGAGTTTATAAGGAATGGAATTTTATATAGACTTACAACATCAGTGAGTAAAAGGAAAGTAACAGAACCAACATACTTAGCTTTAAACAAACATTTGGAAGACTGAATCACAGATTTCTGAATATAGCTAATTCACATCTCTTTTGACATAACAGCACCCACATAATTTGAGAACTGGCTTAAGAATTGTGAATAAGGAATAAAAATAGCAAATTACTGAGCAGGAAAAGGTACTTAATGTGTTTAAAATGGATCATAGTAGTGCTGTGTTAGAATTCAGATCAAGACTTTCACTGTGATTTAGAAGAGTCTGTAACTGATGAAATTATCAGATGACAGAGAGACATTTTGAATAGTAATGAGGATAAGAAAATAATTCCAAGAGGTGCAGAAAAATCAGTTTTAAAAAAATCAAGTATTTGATCTGTAAAGCCACAAACCTAGCGATTCCTGCTCTCCTATAGATTGCATTTTTGTATCACCATCACACTAGATCTCATTTGGGATCATTCTATAACACCCCCCCCCGCCCCCTTCCCAGTTCCTTCCCATGTCTCTACACTTACTTTCCACAGGATTCACCATATTTCCACCCACAGTCACCACCTGTTTTGGCTAGGGGAGGCAGAGCAGATGCTGTTGCTGGTTTCAGAATCTACCCTGCTTGGTACATTCTATTGTGTTCTTTACCTAGAACACTGCAACTTGATCTTGACAGAAAATTATCAAAAATCACAGCAGAGTGTGGGACAGATTTCTGATGTGAGACTTAATAGCATTAAGCACCAGAGCTAGATTCTATGATGCAGCCAATGTCCATTAGGATACTTCTTTAGACACCCCAATCCTAGCCTTGGCTTGCACTCACTTTAGCTCCAGGCACAACTGAGCAACCTCAGAACAACATCTGACATCTGCAAGAATGTAGTATGGCTATGTACTCTCCAAAGTGATTTTTTTTTTCTAGGCAAGAGTCTTAACTTGTCCCCTATCTGGCTGAGACAAATCTGGAAGATTTATCTGGCTTGAAGAACCAGTCTCATATAACCAGTTTTAACTAGGGAATAGTCAAATAGGGATACACTGTCTTCCCACAGGGACAGGGGGAGAGGAATAGGGTTGGAGGAAAGGAGCTAAAGGACCTTTATTATCCTCTATCTTCATTAGTACATACTTGTATCATGTAACCAGTAGTACAGTGAGTAGAAGCACAGGCCTGCATTTATGTTCTGGCTCCCCAAATCTGCAGGTTGAAAGCACTGTGTAAGAGATTATTTAGTAGTGATGCAGAGAAGAAGCATGAAAAGTTAAATTAAACTGGGAAGGGGAAAACATAATCTGAATGTTGGCCCAAAGCTTCCTGCCACTCTGACATAACAGACCCTAGAAGGATTGTTTCTTGAGGAATCAATGGCACAGAGCAGAAGAGCTGCCAAGAGTGGCCACCAAACCAACCGGGCCAAGGGTGGCCCAAGGTGAGCACGGCAGGGAAGGCCAAGGGAAAAGGCTGCGGTTTTACAGTGGCAAGGTGGGCTGAAGAAGGCAGAGTGCAGGGCAGCGCTGGTGATTCGGGCCTGCCCGGCGAGCTGTCCCTGCCGCTTGTCCCGGGCGTGCGCAGGAGCTGCCCCGTGTCCCGATATCCCTCTGTCCCCGTATCCCGGTGTCCCCATGTCCCGGTGAACCCATGTCTCTCTGTCCCGGTGTCCCCCTGTCCCTCTGTCCCGGTGTCCCTCTGTTCCCCTCAGCAGCCCCGCTGCGCTCGCACGGCGCCCCCTGGCGGGCCGCTTTTCCCCTCACGGCGGTACCGCGCGGGCTCCGCGGGGCTCTCCCCGACACGGCCGGAGATCTCCCGTGCTCGGGAGGAGAAAAGAGCCTCTGCAACGCCGAGAGCCATGAAGATAAAAGAAACAGAGAGGGCATTGGCGCTCCTCTGTGTTCTGAAATTGATTTCGTACATTCAGGACGGTCAGTCGCATTTTGTCCATCACCTCCGATGGACTTCAGGGAAGCCTCGGGAGCACTGTGAATTCTTAGAGGAGCTGTGCAAAAACCGCGCTTAAGCTTTGTAAGTATAAAAGACAAAAGTAGTTTAATGTCTCCTTTCCCAATCTTGTTCTCAGCTTAAATTAATTACATTCATAAAGTATTATTAAAAACTAATCTGGGGAACTACCCCTTTATGTGTCTGCTGGTGAATATGACTGACTATAAATTCTTACTTTTTTTTGGTGTGAATCATGGTATTTCATAAAACGTTTTTACGGATGAGATTCTTTTTGTCCAGGTACTCTGAAATCAGCAAAATCAACAGCACACTCATCAATTTATCTTTGCAGTCGTACAAATGCTTCTTCTTCAGGCAAGAAGATTAGTCAGCAACATTTAAAAACCCTTTTTCCATTCACAAAATTTAAACATTTTACAAGAAGGGCTTTTAGAAACATGCAGTCATTTACCAGCTGGTGGAGCTCAGTAAATAGCAGGAAGATTTGTCCACAAACATCCCCTGAATTGGAAGAGAGTTGTGACTCAGCCACCTTTATTAACCTTCTGCTTTAATTTCCACAAAAGCTGATATCTTTGGGGTACTGCTGCTTTTTGTTTTCTGCTGACAGAAAGCATTACAAATGAACTTACTGTGGAGTTGCTACCACCTCGACCTACTGAAGTTCTACAGAACAGGTTTCCCTGGCACAAATGCAAATGTATAACTTAATATAGAACAGCTGTAAGAGATGTGGGTTGCCCCAGTTATCAACTGCTGAAATTGGTCAAAGTAATACCCCATGTCTATCATGAGACCAAATATGAATTATAAACCAGGCATATGCAGACTAAACCACCTAATTCTGATAAAGAACCCACTGAGCTCCACTGGAAACCTGCCCACTGAGTCCAGCAAATCTGGAATGAGGCCCTGTCTGCAGGGGAGCATTTAGTCACTGAAAAGTACCCTGAGCATTTCATTTGTAGTATGATCTGAGGGAAAATACTGTAGTTAATATAAATGAGTGAAATATCATGTGTCATCTTCCAAATGCAGTTACAACAGAATTCAACATGGGCATGTGCTCAAAGATCCAGCTAAAAGACTCCTTAAATCCACCAGAACTTTTCATGTTTTCTTGGAGACACAAGGGATATTTCATACTTTCCTCAGCACTTCGAATGCTAAAACATACCTGAAAGTTAAACCAGAAAGTGTTAAACATTTAAATCAGAAACTGAATTTTCAAAGAAAAATACAAAACGCCTCATGAACAGCTACAATAAATAGGTTATTTAATTTGGGAGCATGAACATTTCTGTTAGAAATTATGATCAAACTTCTATATGTTCTCAACAAATTGAAAAAATATTCTCCTTATACAATCAGTAGAATTAAGAGTTGTCCAGTGTTCTGAGAACTGGAAGAAATTGTGAAATGTTATTCTAATGCTTTCTCAGGGTGCAGAAGCAGAGACAGTGATGTGATCTAATCAAGCATTCAACTTCCAACACATCTTAAAAAGTTCTTTTCGGACTCTCTTTAGACCATTCATGTGCTAACTATTTTTGTGATTGTGAAACATGCATACTATTTGGGCTTAACTAAAGAAACCAGGAGGTTTTACTGAGCAACATCACTCTCATACAGGAAAAAGATAAAGTCTAGGCTTTGTTCTAGACATACAAGCAGTGCCACAGAAACAGTTGGAATTTAAGCACATACTTTATATTAAAAACAAATGCTCAACTGTTTTGCAGGATCAAGAGCTGCAAGTCTTACTGATGCCATGGTTTCTATGACAACTGTGATATTATTACACGAAGGATTATGATTTAAAGGAACACACATCTGGCCTTTTCCACAGATGTGGTCCTAGTTTATCCTGTATGTACCTTGTGTACAAATCTGCTCATCTTTGTGCACTGAGTGCATGATGAGGGAGGGCAGGCCTCAGCAGACCAGGCAGAAAGCGAGTCAAGTGCACTCTATTCCTGCAGATTTCAAGGAATAAAAATAAATTCAGACTTGGGGCTGCACTATCCTTTCAGGCACAGCTGCAGCCCAGGAGCTTGCTGATGGCTGAGGGATACTGCAGCAGCAATGCAAGAAATGGAATGCCTGGTAGAAAGCAGCAGGTGCTGTGCACCCACACTCCCTCCCTTCAGAGCCCTCACAGCCCTGACATGGTTTCCTGCACCCCAGCTTGTCCTGGGGTTGGCTCCACATCCCATTGAAGGCTCGAGCTGTGGAATTGTTAACCAAACTGTGGTCTGAGCAGCTTGCAGCCTCACAGTCTCCCTCCTCCACCAGCCCTGAACTCTGCAGAAGCTCCACTTCCCCCCTGCTTTCTGATTAACTTATTCTCCATTTGGCTCAGTAGGGAATACATTTGATCTCTTGAAGATATACTCCAGCTATCTCCATGGTCCTCAGTGATCTCTGCAAACATATCCAGAAAAGTATTTTCATCCCTTGGGAGCAGGTGCCAAAAGTAATTCCATATGACTTAGTGCTAAAAGCTAGCCCAGACTAGCTAGCTTGGAACAGGACAGAAAATACCTAAGAAAAAGTAAACTCCATCCCTGTCCTTGGTGTAAGAACAGCAGCCTGCTCTTTAACTGAGAGTGCCTAAACCCAGCCCTGCAGACCCCCAGCACTCAGAAGGCTGCAGCACATCCTCAGCTGCTCAGGTGATGTTGCCCAATTCATCTTGGCAGTTCAGCCATTTTAGGTAGGAATATTTTCTCCTCTGTCTCACTGTCTCATTTTCAGAGAGCAGCCTGACTCTGGGCTGCTGTGCATTCAGGACACACTAATTCACCTGCAGCTTTTACAGACAAATTATTGCCAGTGCTGCAAATTTGTTCCATGGCCCTTTTAAGTACATGGCTGGCTTTGTAGCAAACAGCTCCCTTTAGATTAGGATAAATGCTTTACCAGGGAGATTAGTGCCACTGCACTTGTGAAGTCATGATACTCCCTACAAATAAAATCAGTTCCTATAAATAGCCAGAACATCTTCCATCCTATGAGATTATGAGCTTCTTCCTTGCAAAATAGATGAGCTCATTGAGAGATAATTTTGTGATACCCAGACAACTTCAACATAAGACTGAGCCCATCATCATTATTCCAATTAAAGCTCCTTTTTATACCAGTAAAATAATTGATGTGCTGATAAACTGCTTCAGTTCATTGTTACTGCAATATCCACAGCTGCTCTGAACACATCCATGTAATCAATATGGCCCATTAAAAGGTTTCTAAATGAGTTAACTCTTCCAGGAATTAGCTGGATTTCTGAGAGACTATAATTCTTTTTGTTCTGTGTTTCTTTTATTTACAGAGGCATTAAGTCCAATCACAAGCTGACCACACATACTCAAGCACAGCATAATATGAATGTCACATGCTATTTTTGTAATAGAAGTTGAGCAAGAGAACCTGGCCTTGAGGCTACTTTTCCCATATTAAAAAATACCTAAACTAACCTGCATCATTCTGACAGAACTAGGTTAGGGAGTGACTGTGTGTGCATTTACATTGGCAGAGCAGGACGTACTGTGAGGGACAGCAGAACAGGAGCCAAAGACAGGGAACTTTAACTCCAATTCAGCAGCAGCCAGAAAGAGAATCTCCCAGAACAGCTACAGCAACATGACCAAAAAGGCCCATTTCAGCACCATGCCAAGCTGCAGCTAGCACTGAAGCCAAACTGGGGCTCCAGTCTTTCTGTTCCTCATCAGTGCCATTGCCCCCAGTCCCTGTGCTGCAGGAGCAAACAGCTGTGCAGCTCCCAGAGGAGAAGCTCAGGGCAGCTGAGAATGGAATTCTTGTGTAAAGGTGTGGCTTTAGGTACAGCCACCAGGTTCCTGCCCTGCTCTCTGGGATTACCAGCATTCTCAGGAGCCAAGAAAATCTCTCTAAATACCTAACTTTACTGCAGTTCCAGAAGAAACAAATTTTCAGGTCAGCCTCTCCCTGCCCTGCTTCAGGGGAAGAACTGTGGGGAAGACAAACCTGCACACATTTATTAGGGGGCTTGGAGCTTCTGTTGTTGTCTGCAATTAAAAACCCAAACTAAAACTGCCAAAGCCTTTTAGAAGTTTTGTTAACCTGCTATGAGGCAAATGCTTGAACTTCAGACTTTCTCATCCACAAATCTTGTGTTTGAATCACTTCTACTTCATGCACTTGCCACATTCAGGAGATAAAGGGTTTTTAGCAGCTGCAGATACCCATGCAGAAGCAATTACTTCTTCCTGATGCCTGCAGCATTCCATGAGAACTTCCCAGTGTGAAATGCAACTTCCCAGTCTCCTCCCAAGGCTCACTGCAGGCAGTCTTATACCAAGTACTAACACTGGGTGCTGCACATGCACTAGAGGAGCTACAAAGAGGTATTTTTTCACACTTAGAAGTAATCATCACATGCATACAGCCCATTATGGGGGCTAGGCAGTGACCTAAACAGAGCTTTTCAGCTGTTTGTTGCTATCTGCTGCTGATGTTGCCACTAGAAATGCAAAAAGGCAACTCTACTGAAACACAAACCTTTAATGAGTTTATTTTGAATTGTGTCTCAAAGACCAGGCAGACATAGGTAGTAGGCTGCACAGCTTTAAACAACTTGTCAAAATCCTTTTAGGAAACAAAATAGCATACATTTTTTGAAGGGTTCCCATCTGTCTGAATTTCTAACTTGATTTTTGCAGCTCACACAGCTCAGATGGATTTAGCTGAGAATACATAACCTGAAGCTGTGTTCTTGAAGTTTTCTTCATACCAGGATGGCACCTCCATAAGAAAATTCTTAAGCTGCTGAGCTTCAGCTTAGGCCCTAGGTGTCCTCTCTGCCTTCTTCAGATAAGGAGGGTCACCCAGCCCCAGATCCCAGTGCCCCCAGACAGGGTGCTCCTGAATGTGCCAGGTACAGCTGCAGGGGAGCAGCTGTGACAGAGGTGCAGCACTGAGATCTCCAGACGGGTTCTGCCTCTGGCCACCTTAGCCCTTCACCATTCCTGCTGGTTCTGGTACCATGTTTTGTTAGTTGGTACCAATTCAATTTTAAAATCCCTTTGGAGCTTGTTTACAAAGGCTTTGGCTCATGCAAAGCATGAGGCCCACTTGGAAAAGGTGATGTGCCCAGAGGGAGTGAATTCTACATTGCTTCCATTGCAGAACTCCACCTTAGAGTTCCCATCCAGGGAAGGGAGCCAAAGATAACTGCCTCTTCCAAAGAAAGATCTTCTGGAGTCTACATCACCCCTGATGTTTTGAAATTTCCAGTGGACCACATCAGTCATGGTGGAGTGAGAAGCAGCATTCACGCTCAACCTTTCCTCAAGAGGTACAGCACCCTGTGTTGCGGATACCATTTGTTTCAAAAATCCCACATATGTTAGAATCCTTTAGGCTCCTATTATAACATATAGTGATTAAAAATAATTGCTTGCTTCCTGGTGTTTCAGTTAGTTTGTTCTGTGTGCCTGGCAGCATTTTGCAGAGCTTCACTGTTTCTGCAAGGCTGTCAGTCAGTTTTCCCTGTTGTTTGCGTGGGCTTTTCACACACAACACAGAAGAGGAAAACACTAAAAAAGAAAAAAAGGGAAAATGTGATTATAATCCTCTTAAAACAGCCAGCAGGGGAATTTGCAGGACCAAGAAATCCTCTGACTTTTTGAAAAAAAGTGAATGCATTTCAAATTTACTATGCCTAGTTAGCTGTAGAAAATATAGTCTCTTTCTATAACAAAAGAGCACAAGTCATCAGCCTATCACTGTCTTTGGCAAATTCAAAATCAGCTGAAGAAACACAATTTCATCTCTAATGATTAAATTACATATGGCTATGTATGTTAGATAAGCCTAAGAAGTCAGTGATCAACTTCTGCCTAGTACTTAACATTTTTAGAAATGCATGCTGGGTAACACATTGTTCTTTTTAGGGTGGGAAAAAAGGATGTAGTTTATCAAGGCAGGAAAGCCAGAAATTTTGGATGTTTCCCCTCCCAGTAATTGATAATTAGCTCTATTATTTACAGCTCTTTAATTTTACTTCTGTTGGTTTAACTAGTTGTGGGCCTCAGTCCCCAGAGGTAAGATCTGCACCCCTCCAAGGAGGGGCACTTCTTTTCAGCTTTTCTGTCCCAGCAGCTCAAGCCGCTCCTCTAGACACTGATCTGATCCAAGAGGCTTGCACCTGAGAGCTGAGGCACAGGAAGCTCCATGGCTCTCAGTGAGAGCAATTATGGAGCATCTACCTCATTAAACTCCTCCGTGCTAATATTTGTCACCTTTCACAGAGGAGCTGCTTTGAGAAAAAAACATCCAGGACATGTAGAGCTCCTATATCTGTGAGGATGGAGCTCATGGTATTTTCTTGTGGCTTTTATGTCTGTGAGCAGACACAAGCAGCTTTCTTCAGACACCTACTTAGCCCAGTGCCATCCACATCAAGTACGTGTCGGTCTTCACAAGCCCGGGGAAAACAGCAAGAACAAGAGGGAAAGAGCACGCTCATGCCTCCACCAGAGGAGGACGTTTATCACGTAGAATCCCTTTCTGTGTGCAGCAGGATGTACAGTCAATGCTGAAGAGCTGACCAGAAGATGGCGAGAGAGGAACACTTTTGGAAGCGCATGGGGTCCGTGACCCGCTGCCCGCATCCCCTGGGCAGGGCCGAAGATGCCCTTGGAAGGAGGGGCCAGACCCATTCCACGGGACTCAGGGATAGAGAGCGATCGAGGTTAATTAAAGGATAGTTCTGCTCTCCAAATCCCTTTTGCTCTGGAAATCTGAAAATCTTTAAAACTTGAGCACAAAAAGGAAATAGCATTTGCGAATCTTTTGAGGCAGAAGGGGGAAAAAATAATTCTTAATATTCTTAAGATGTAATGGCTGTTTCTCAGAAGGCTGTGCAGACAGTACATTCTTTGTCAGGTCTCTCCACACAAGAAGCCAATGACACTTAGGTAAACCTGGAACATTCTTAGGATATCACTGCAGCTACTGTGGGTCAGTATTTATCCAGAGGAGATCAGAACCCTGGACATTGAAAGATAATTTCTTATATGTTGCCATGGTTATTTTCTTCTACCGAGATGATGCGCAAGTTCAGAAAATACCCCTTGAATTAAGCTGAGCTGTTAAGTTCAAGCGAAGAGTTCTCTTTCTAGACAACCGTTCCTATTAATTTAAGTCACACTAATTTTACTATTCAACATCTTGGGAAAACCACATGGTATTTCCAGTATGGGATTAAATGTTTCTGATAATTTTAGTCTTCCTGAGAATTTACAACATACTTTGTATTCTGAAAAAGCACTTAGAAATCTGTTTTCATAAATAGATTCATAATCTACTATGAATCAATATATTCATAATGGACCAATATCTTCATATCTGTATGAATATGAATCAATTTCATAAATAGATTTTCATTCTAGGTTCATAGAGCCTTCACCTGTTTGCCAGTATTTGCTTTGGCTCACACTGAAGTTAACCAGGGAATTAATTCTATATGATGGCTAGACAGAGCTGTGATAGAGTTTTACCATCTGAGTGAAGCACAGGATGGTTTGATGAACAGTTTTCAGTGCATATCCATTGACAGTGGTTACAATTTAGTGTAAAAGGAAAGTGTGCTCACATTAATATTCCAAAGCTAGTCTATTCCATTTTATTAAATTTCCATATTTTCACAGGGGAAAAACTCAGTTTGAAGAAGCAGTGTTGCTCAGTATTTATCCACGATTTCTTTCCCATTTTAATTTCCATTAATTTCACTTTTCCCAACTCATTTTCAACTAGTAAAACTGGAAACTGCTCAAATCTGTCCTGATCAACCCTATGTTCCTATCTTCTATTTGCTGACGTCTTAAATGCTCAAAATAAGAGGAACTTTATAGGAACAATCCACATTATCTGTTAATCTGGAATCTTCATCACCTACTTCAGTTACTCACCCAGAAGCCAGTGGCTTTATGTTCCATCTGGGCCCTTTGTCCATCCACAGAGATCCAGATGGCTTCAGTGTTAGTCCCACATCCTTGCACTCTCACTCAGTTATGCACATGAACTCCGGGGGCCACACAGGTGAGAATGTCCCCAGCTCCATGCAGGAACAAGTCCAACAGCCCTAGAAGCTTCCTGCTTTGCACCAGCTGCACTGGATCATTCCTAACCTGACTCTCAGGATGGTGCTTCCTGATGGCAAAATCCTACTCTAAGTAACTTTGCTGGGGTCACTTCGGATCTCTTGGAAAACAGACAGAGCCACTCATCTTCAGAGATTATATGAGAAGTGTCACAGACTGTTTTCCTCAATACATCAGATGTTCACTTTGGTACCTGGGATTCATCTGTCACACTCAGAACAGAGTGAACTGCTTGGCAGTCTGCTACAATGCTCTTCACTTTTGTTTGCTCTTAACCTTTTGCATTACTGATTTAGTTGTTGACTGACTGTGGTTTCTTTTGCAAAACATAGTAAGAAATATTTGGAAAACACCTTATCAATGACATAACTACCTATCATTTAAAGTGGCTTTTGTCAGTACTACCTTACATAAGCAGTCTGCAAATACCCCTGGCTTCCTCTGCAGGGAAACTCTTGTAAGACACATCTATTTGTAGAAACAGGGCTCCTAAATGACAGAGATGAACATGGGAGACTCATGCTAAAGACTTTTCAGTCACACACTAGCAAACAGTTAAAAAATAAACTCTCTGAACACACAACTTAGATAACCAGTGGCAGAGAAAAGGCACGTGATTAGCTGTGAGCTACAGAGGAGGAACAAAGTCCAAGAGAAAAGACTGAAAATAGCCTCCAGGTTGGCTCTCTGGGGAAGTTCAAAACTCCATACATATCAGCAGGCACCTCAGCACCTTTAAAACAGGCCCAGAGTCTTTCAGCAGTTCACCTCAATCAACCTGTGATTCTTCTTGGCTAGTTCTTAGTCACTGGGTTTTGCACACACACAACCCTTCCCATGTTTCTAATGTTGATGCTCTGTGATTAACATAGCACTTCATAGCCACCAGCCACCCCATACCATCCTCTCCTGGCACTCTCCCCACCTGACCTTGGAGGCATTTTAAGGCAGGAGTGGGAGACTGTCCTGCACTGCCTCAGCTGTGGTGTTTTTATTGTCTGCAGAGCAAAGGCAGCAGGGACAGGGTTTTGTGGGGTGCAAGGCTCACCAAGGCAGGTGGCACTCCTCATGGAGACAGCTGGCTGTTCTCCCCAGCTTCTGCCCTTTGACATCTGCTCTCCTCTAAGTCATACAGAGAAACAGTTGGCTGGGAGGCAGCTATGAAAATGTGCCCAGGGGAGCAGACACTGAGGCATGCTGAACAGCACTTGCTCATAAGAAGTTCAGAAAACAGAAGTACAAATGCACCCTCCAGCAGAGAAAACATAACGAGAACTAATACAAAATACTGATGCTGCAGTGAAAGTTCCCTAATATAGCTGACAATCTCTTCAGCTTGTTTTGGTATGAAAGTCTTCTATTTCCTAATAAACAGATGGTGATTTCAACTCCACCTATTCCCTGTACAGCACCTTTTTGCCACAAGAGTGCATCCTTGCAGCTTGCACCAGGCACAACCCCTCTTGCTGGAGCATGAAGGTACCTTAAATCCTGACTTGCCTTGTACCCGCAGCCCTGAGCACAGCCTCTGATAAGTAGCTGTTTGCAAATGCTTAGTTTGATATAAAATCTGGTTTATAGCATAGCAAATCAATGGTATGGTAAGAAAATGCCCTCTAACGAGATTAAAGATAGGTATTGTATATTGGTACACTAGAAAACACTGCTAGAAAAACAGTATCCAAAGCAATACTGCCATATCCAAAGCAGTATCTGTGGCTGACTTTCTTAGGACTTCCTTGCCATATTACCCTTTTCCCTAACATGCTAACAACAAAAGAATAACTACCTTAATAGTTTAACTCACAATTCCTTACCAGGTACTGGCTATGTCTTTGTCAACATTGCAAAAAAGTGTTTTTGAAACTTCTCAGCAGATGGTCTCCAGGCATGTCTCTAGGAATAGGAACCAAGGTGAATAGACATAACACAGAATCTGAAGTGTACTCTTGAAATTGCACAAAGTCTCACACACCCAACACTATGAGGCATGTATGTAAACCAGGCAAAAAGAAAGCTGATTAAAACAGAAATCTCCTCAAGTTTACCCTACTAAAAGAAGCTGTTTCATCTTTTTGTGGATTTTGACTTTCCCACTTGGGCTTTTTCACTCCTGTGCTTGCCCTGCATAGTTGGGTACAGAGCTGGAGACCTAAAGAGAATGTTGAGTATTTCCTACTTTGGTCAAAGAACATTCTTGCTGAGACCCTATGAATTAGCAGGAGCAGTACGGCTGATCCCCAGA